ACACTGACAGTGCCGTGGTCCGTGGAGAAAAACCTTGAAGAATTGCGTGGACAGGTGGGAACCGTCAACCGCAATGTGACAGGTTGTCCAATCTATCCGTACGATTTTTTTGATTGCGGCAAGTGGAGTTCCCCGGTATGGTTCCGAATAGCATCATCATCCGCGAAGCCAAGACAAGGGGAAAACATGCAGACGCACGACTTGTCTCCGCGGATTTGGACGTACTCCGCACCAGGGATCGTCTTCTCTCTCAACCTCTCAAAGTCTCTCGCTTAACGATTTTGTTGAAACAAGAACGTATCCATCAGCCCACACACGTCAAGGAGTTTGAAAGCCCGCATCTCCAATCCCCACAATCGACGAGATTGCAGTCCGACGTCTTTCTTGAACCCCGGAGAAAAGACATCTTACGATAAGGAGCATGGCCCCAACATCAGACCACCGAGCTGTCAAACGCTGCATGTGCGCGGCGCGGGTACGCTGGGGATGCTGGAGATTTTGCTTGGATCATTCCGTCATGTCCGCTCCGTGGCAGCCGGAGCCGGTTTCTCGCGAGGAAACCTTGGCCCAGGCGCCCCTGGGAGACCACTCATGAAGCGGCTTTCGGGTTGTAAAGGACGACCCCGTGTGTGTGTGTGTGATGGTATTGATGACGATGGTGTATCACATCAGACGATTAAGTCGATTCGAGCACATCGTACCAGAAATCCGGAAACGGAATGTGTGATGAGATGGAGATTGGCTTGGTATCAGTGCCCAGACAGATGCACAGATAGAGATGTGGACGGGGCAGATGCGCAGATGCAAGGCCAAGAAATTATGATAGGAGCGTTATGAACCGTGTCTCAATCCAAATGTGCGGCCGTTATAGACAAATTACGGTTGTCAAAATGATATCGAAAACGAGGAAACCAAAATGGGTATATTCTCGTTATTGCATCTTTTTCTCATCTCGAACGGTGCAATGGGTCAATTGGGTCCGTTATTCCGCATAATAAACGGATCAAGCTGGCCTGAGCTCCGTCATTGATGCCGTTCATGATGTTTGCTACTCGTCAGGCACAAAAACGTCAAGGTGTAGGAAGGAAAGGGTGTGCCGGCAACGTCGGATGGGGGTGTGTAGATGTGCCCAGTCCGTTTTCGACGTGAGACTTGTGGGACGTACGGAGTAGACGGAGGCTGGTTGGTCAATGGCCGCTAACCTTGGGATGGCTGCCCGAGCCGAACGGTGACAGCTTGCTTCCCCTTCCTTTCACTCTGTACGGAGTAGTGTAGGATGCCAATGAAGACGACGCTGAGCCGTATGGGCCGAAAGGGATCACTCCCGAGGATGTTGCATCTCGTCGCTAGAGATGCAGCGGTAGGCGAAAGCCACGATAACCACATCATCTGCAGACTACAAGCCACCGTGATAGACGCGAAGCTACGGTACCTTCTGTCCGGGGGTTCCGTCCTACCTTCGCCCGCACCGTTCTTCCGGCCCCTTCTCCCTGCCGTCAATCTTCCGTCTCAAGGCCACGTCCGAAGCCACGCAACAAACACAAAGTGAACGGCGCAGCCGGCATATGCGAGACCCGGATCTACCTACCTTATGCACCGGGGGTTGCTTACCCTTGGTGGCGGTGGTTGTTTGGCAGGACTGCAGGACTGCAGGACTCACCGGAACAGCCTCGATTCCTGTATGCAGGCCCTTGCCGGGGAAAAAGCAGTAGTTTGTTTCTTAACACAGCCTCAATGTCTCCCTGCCCGACTGTACGCATGCTCAGCACGAGGAGCCCTGCGTGTCTTGGATTTCTCCGTTCAACTCAAAAGAGAACAGGGTGGTGAGCAGGGGAGGGTCTTACTGGCCTCACTTTTGACCTGCAAAAGAACCCAATCGTCTCGCAAGAAGGGAACACCTAACCCAACAAACTCGTAGTCGGCCTGGAATCAAAGAGGGACCCTGGACTTATGGAGAAGGGGCATCACCGCCCTCTGCAATTTGCATTGCCAGTGACACCAGATAACCACAAACAAGCTCTTTACCGAGTGTCTACCCTCTCGTATGCAATTGAACCTTCAATTCAAGTTCATAGCTCGTTGCTCCGTAAAAGAATGACCAGGTATGTAGAACAGGGCTGGCAGGAGAGGCTATCGGTATCTCAGCTGCTCAGCACCCCCGACTCAGCTGGTATGGTTATCAAACCAATTCTTTTCCCCACATGATCCGAACACGCCCGTATCCAGTGCATTTTTATGATGATCATTTCCCTCCTCTGCCAGAGTTTGAACGTTATCTTGCGGAAATCTCACCCCCAAGGGGCTCCAAATATTGATCAGGGGTTCTTATTCTGTCGCACAGCTTGGCACATATTTGCACTCAACCTCCAAGGCGAGAAAAAAGATGATGGGGCGCGCAGGAAGGAAACATGAGAAGTGAGGCTCCGGCAAGTCGGAACGAATCTCAATCTGCACGCCTTGACGAAGAGTTCCAAGGAAACCCCATATGATGGCCCCCTCCTCCTCGGAATGGCCCCAAAATTAGCAACACCAGATGCAAGCAATCATGTAATATCCATACGAAGCTCCTCACATATCACCAACAATCCATTCTACGGAGTACTTCGCTTGCTCTCGCTCAGCACAGGCCAGGACCCCGAATAAATCTCGTGAGCTGGGGTCCTGCGGCCTGTAGCCTGCCAGACTCTCGCTCCCTTAGTGTCGATCATTTGTGCCCATCTATCTCAAACCAGGACAGGATCCCCGTCTCCAGAATTTAGAGCCGAGTCAAGAAACTCTAGTCTATTACCACACTCTTTCAATGTGGGTGATGGTCGCAGTCTATCTTGGTCGTATCATGCTGCCGCGCAAGTACGACTTGCCGAACCGTGCTTTTTTGAGCTCTCTCTCGCTCTCTCATTTCCAGATGCCACTCAACCCCACCATTCTCTCTGTCAGCCCCAATTCCATCGACACCTTACAGATTGTGAAGCCCTCAATCCGTGCGAACGGAACCACGGATAATAAGTTGTAACAGTCCCTTGCCCGCCTTGTCTCCAGCCTCCCCCGCCAAAGAAGGAGCCCTATCTGCCAAATAAATCACGCTGGCGGCTGATCGAGGCGAACGGGAGGAGACTTGGGATATGGTGATGTTCGCCATACGAAACGTACCCCCATCTTCTCGATCGACGGAATCCTGTCCTGTCTGCCAAGTTCCAAGTTCTTAGTCTCAGAACTACGAGGCCTCCCTTTTTGCAAAGCTGCCCTCTTGTCGTCCGTTTGCAGACAATTGGTCTGCCGTACCAAGTAGCAACCATCACCATGCTCCCACTTCGCGCGCAACCCTACTCCATGTCGAGCTGAGAAAAATCGTCCTACGGTCTACCAGTCCCAGAGCTGGAGACAACCTTATGAGACGGTGTGATAATCACACCTTACGGAGCAGACCGTCCTGCCATGACCATCATACATGGAGACGATGGTAGGGGCGTCACTCTTCTTTCCCCACGAAAGCTGCAACCAAGACCCCTTCTTCGGTACTATAGCCGCATACACGTCGTTATCATAAGAGGCTCCCCTTTATCATAGCCGGCGTCTGTTAATGGGGGGGGGGGGGGGCAGGGGGTTGAGACGGGCGAGAGATACTGCGCTCGCGCGGCTCAAGGGGAGCCATGGGAGGGGGAGCCATGGCTCTGACGACGGAATTTGGCGAGACGAGCGTGGACGATCTACGAATGCCACAGTACGACACCGTGGTCAATCCTCAAGTCTGAGCTTCCGTGGACATGGACTATCAAACGCCCAGCTCCTCATTCCTTCGTGAACTTGTCCCCGCCGGAGTAGTCGCAGCCCCAATCCGTGCCTCCATGTCGACATCCGCAGTTCATCCACCCTTTGACACTCTTCCCAGCTCCATCCCAGCTGCAGCGTCCCGCGTGTGACCCAAAAGAAGAGAGAAAAGGCCAACAACCTGCGCGGTAGATCTTCTCGTGTCATGTCACACCCCAAGAGCTATGATTATCGTTCCTCTCGCTGCGCTCTTCCTGACCTTGCCCATGTCCACCTTCCTCCTTCGCGCCAGCGCCAGCGCGGTTTCTGATACATTTCACATGCTAAGCGAAGGCCCCTACCTCGATGTCACGGACATGCGCGAGGCCATTCAAGAGGAGGGGGGGTGCTGAGAGGTTGTGATCTGCGTCTGGGCTATGCGTGCGCAGGATGCGAGCGCGGCTCCACGGTTCGATTGCATGACTGGTTGCGCACTACTCTATTCGTCCATATTGCAGAAAAATTTGGTGATTGATGGCTTTGGTGGTTGTTTACCTGACCTGCCATCCGGTCTCATGCAGATGGTCTTTGCATCTTTTTCACAGCCACAGTCAACTCGAACTGTCCACATGCATAGATGTACGTTAAGTTTAGAGGTGGTGGTAAGCAACATCAACGCCCCAAAGCAGAATAAACCGTTCGCCGTAACGGGAATACCCTCCTGCACCTTGGCACACCATCTCCCCCAAAGGCCGTCCTCTTCCCAAAAGAGTTTTCGCAAGGTTACCGATTCGTTGATAATCAGGGACCGAACGCTTTTAGAGTCGTCAAACTTCCTGTTTTCCGTGCAGATGTTTGCAGATCGCTTCCCCCTCCAGTATTGAATTCATGAAATATAAAGATTGCACACACGCCAAACGCGAACCGGACGGTAGGGACCGGAGGCGGGCTGCACTTCGCCTCTCATCCCCCACACCCCAGATGCGAGATGCGGGCAATATTTAGAAACACATACGCTACGAGAAGGACCGGAATGCGGGCCTTGGGGCCTTGAGTGAAGTCGCTGTAACGTAACGTGACACCGAGCTGAAATCATTGTATTGGTATCGAACAGCATAATGACACAATTGCATCATCAATAGTATGTAGTTACGCTATCTGAGCAAGACACGCAACAAGACTCATTTTCGCAGGGTGATGCTCCGTTGACCTTTACGAAATGAACTGCTGAGACTGGTGGCCGCGGGACGTTGATGGTCCGCGGAAGCCAGAGACAGGAAATCCAAGACTTGGCCAAGAGAGCGAAAGACACGGATTTGTCCGGAGACCAACGAAACATTTCGTCTCAACTTTTTTTCTGTGTGTCTCTGTTTGTGTGTCCCCTCCGCGGCTCTACCTCTCTCTCCCTCTCTCTCCCTCCGTCGCGGGCCAACAACCTCTCCTAGATCCGGACTCGACTCCGATCGCAGACAACTTGACATAACAGCAGGCAGTCCGCTCTTCGAGCCCGCTGTTCATCAGGCGCGTGTTTCAGAGGAGGGCGAGGGAGAGAGGTACGGAGTACGGCCGACAGGCTTCACCCTGATGCTAATTTTTCTTCTCGCACTTTTCTTAACCTTTTTGTTTTCTTTGGGTGGTTCGCCCGTGGGACCGACGGGATGCTGTGGAAAAAGTACGGATACTTTACGCTTCTTTTTCTTCTGCGTCGTTCGCCAAGCTTTGGTCTTTATCTAGTATACTTTCTTACGCATGGACTGATTCCAAAAAAGTCCGTCCCACGGGATATGGAATGTCTGGTCTGAAAATGGCCGTATCGGCCGGCCGGCCGGCGGGCGAATGGGCGGGCGGTTCGGTCGGTTCAGTCTTTTACCGCTAGGCGCTTGAAGCCCTTTTCGTAGACACAAGTTCGTCCACGGTCCAACATGGGGCGGACGAGGTTTTGCCAAGATTGCGAGGTTTATCGCGAGAGAGATTAGCAGACTATCTTATGGAGTACTCCGTATCCGTACATCGATTTCGTCGAGGCCCCATCAACAACAAATCCCCGGAACTTTTCCGATTTTCTGTTGTTTGCTTCGGGCATAATCGAGCCATGGGGCCCAATGCATTGACACCAAAGCTTGGCAGGGCTGTGAGGGCTCGGGAACGAGATCTTGAGCCTACCTGGCCCAGAGATACCATCACGGTAATGATGAGGAAATGATTTTTTTCACAATTTAGAAAGAGTCCAAAGTGTTTGCGAATTGCTTCATTTGATTGTTCTTGATGTGTTTCATAACATTTCTGTAAAAGAGTCTGGTATCCGCCTGATAAAAATGCTAAATCCCCGTTTTTTCTTTTCGCCAAATGATGCCCCAAGGGTATTGTAGTATCCTGTACACTTTCCTCCTCGTATCTTTTTCCCATGGTAAAAACAATTCCGCTAATGATGCTATTCCAATTCCGCGCTCATCAAAAATCTCCAAAAAGAGCCCACTCGCCCTAGCCCCGCAAGGACAGACTGCAGCATCGAAAAAAGAAGTGAAGAAAACAAAAATTGGTAGCAAAGCAAATATTGACTTTCCCCATGCGCGACGACGTCAGAGGCGCCCACCAAGCAGGGACGAAGTCGACTGCGGAGAAGCGAATGGTCGTGATTGGGCGGGATTGAGAAAAGCGCGCCATCTCGGTAGTGCAGATTTCGTGGTCACCAAAGGGCAGAGAGAGGAGTGCCCCTCACGAGGACCCCTATGAATCTCCAATGACGTCCGCATCGTCGACTCGTGTTCCACTCCCTCTGTGGAATGGACTGGTTTGTGTGTGTTTTCCCCCAAACATCGCAAAGCGCGCTAAAGTTGGTGGTGCATCTGCAGTCGCGAACAGCAGCGCCAACCGACTATTTTCCAGGGTTTCGGGATAGAACCATCGTCATGCACGATGATGTCTTTTCCCCTTTGATAGGGGAGTTGAGAGAGGGGAGACCCTGAAGTGACAAAAAGTCGCTATAGCAAGCGCCGGCAATTGAACCAGCGGAACGAAGCCAAAGGGTCAAAAGAGAAAAAAATAAGCCGTGGCTTCTTCTTCCCTTTCGGACCCGCATTCTCCTCGTATCCGAGACGAACGAGAAAAGGGACCTTTTTCGCTCTCAGGCACCGAAAAAGAGAAGAAAAGCGGAAGCCGAGGCAGGCGCAGCGGCCTGTGCGTTGGAGGTGGGCGGAAGACCGCAAACAGCGCACAAGAAAGGTACATGAAACTGTTGCCTGTTCGCCCAGCGTTGCCGAGTCTCTTTTTTCTTGCGCGTTGCAAGTGAGAGAATGTGGGGTGACCAATGCGCCAATAGCCGGTTGCGGAAGTGCCAAGGCCCAGTATCAGCCAATCCCGCGCCCCGAAGGATGGGAAAGTGGAGACACGGGGCATCGTGCAGCCAATGGGAGAGGCCGGGCTGTGAGATGACTAACCCTGAGACCTTTTGCTGGTGCAGGTGCATCCCTCCGTCCATGTGGTCGGAAGAGCTGTAGAAGGGGAAAAAAGCCAAGATGCGTGGAAGAAAGGCGTTCGATAAAATAAGTTTCTGACCGGACTCAGCCACTGGGTTGGGCGAGGAGGTATCCATAAACATCGTAGCTGTCAATTCAGGTCAGATCATGTCAGACCCGGTTGAATGATTGACAGCTGGTGAGGTGTGGATACCGGAAGACCCCGTCGGCGCCGACTCGGCACGGCTGTCGACAACTGTGGAAAATGGACGTTGAACGACAAGTTGTGTGCGAGTGCATGTGCTTGTTGTGCCGTGTTGACATCTTTCTGACGTTGCGTGGCATTGGATAATGCTGCTGTAGCAATGTGCCGTCGTTCATGTCCATTGGAGGGCTTGTGTGGGTTGTTTCAACCTCGACGGGGTGACCATGTGACTGAGTCGAGGCCAGGTCGAGAGAAGAATCCAAAGGAGAATGGACCCACTTTATCGAAGTGCACGGTGCATACATTTCGATGCTCTCTTCTCAGTCCGTGAGAATAGAATTGAAGATGAAGAGAAGAAGAAAAAAATGTCCATCAGACCGCGGAGTTGATTGACAACTCAGACGCGGTCTGGGGAATCGCCGGCCTGTAGTGCTGATCCTTGGTGAAGGAATGAGGTCTCCCTCTCAGGGAGACATAGTCAGTCAGACATGACTATATCCGTCGGGTCCCTAGACGACTGAGTAAGATCCCAAGTCGTAACCGAGCCGAGCTATGTGCTCTCGCTGTGGTGCCTGGCGTAGAGTTGTCCTTCGTATGGTGGTGTACCTCAGTTATGTTGACGAGGTTGGCCATCGTCGGCTGTCGTTGGAGAAGTGTCCATGGGAGTTGCAGACTAGGTTTTGCTGCAGTTGGTTGGAATAAAGAAGATGGTGCCGGTCCGTCGTATACTGATCCGTCACCCCCAAGTTACGTCCCGACCTATGGGCCACTCATTTGTAGCCGACCATCTTGGCGCAGCGTTCGCAGTAGTAGAGGTTGTGAGCAATGCGGACCATTCCCGTTGAGCTGGAGTCGTCGGTGGAGGTAGCCTCGACGGACCTCGCGCAGCGCAGGCAGCGAAGAACCTCGACGGAGGCCACGGGCCTGGAGATGGAGTCCATGCTGTGTCTGTAGGATGAGGATGCTGAGGAGAGGTCGGAGTCGGAGGATGAGGAGGAGCTGTAGTGGATCTGGGAGGGGCGCGAGCTCGTCGAAGGCATGGTGGTGGTTGTTGGTGTTATTGTTCTATGGTATTGTAGTAGTTATCCCTGTTGGTGGTGGTGTTGGTGGTAGTGCTGATGTTGGTTTGCCTTTGGTATAGTATTCCAAGTCGTTGTATGTTGGAAGTTGGAGATGTATTGCAAGTGCAAGAGTTGGTAGGGAGAGTGTAGTCTCGAGATGTGGGCGTGGGAAGGCTTGATGATATATAATGAAGAGTAACTGTGGGAGGACGAGCAGTGTGGTGTCCAAAGGGGGGGCGTGAGCGGCAGGGGTGAGGGGTCAAGAAAAGAAATAAGGAGGGTAAAAGCGAACACCAGGGTGTAATCTGTGAGTCTGGCAGGGGGGTGGGTGTGTGTGAAGGCCCCCGGGAGGAGAGGGGTGTGCGAGTGTGTGTGCTTGTGAGTGAGTGTGTGTGTGGGATCGACGAGAGAACGGATGGTGATGGCAGGCTCAGCGTAATAATGCAAGCTTGCTTGGAAATGTGCAAGGCGCGACGGCCTATGGAACTGTCGGCAAGAAGGGAGACGGCCCACGGTCACTCACTCACACTCCGTTGTCCGACAGAGCCGGGCTTGTGCAGTTTGTGCTAGGAGCAGTGAGTGGTGGGTGATGCCGCCCAGCACGACAAGAAGTCAGAAGGGCAAGGGGGAACTGGTGGTCGTTCGAGGAGAGAGAAGGGGCGTGTGAAGCCAAGCCCCAGCCAAGCCGAGGGAGAGAGACTGTGAGAGATTGTGAGAGAGAGGAGAGCGAGGAAGAACGGAGAACGGAGAGAGTGAGTGAGAGAGAGGGCGTGACGGTGTTCTGCTGGGTGGATGCGAGATGGTGTGGGTGGACCGTCAAAGTGACGGTTCGGTGACTGGCAAGACGGTCGATGCCGATTTGGAGACGACGTGGTGATTACGGATGGGCGTGAGTCCCGTAAAGGGCCTGCGTCAGCGTTTGCTTGGTCGAATAAGACTGGGGTGTGGGGTTAGTTCCATTCGTAACGGATACGGACGATGCATATGCACTATATGCGACAAACGGTGATAACGGAACGGATGGAGAGTCTTACGGAAATATTCGTTCCAACGGGGCGCCGTCCGTCCCACGGAGGAGGGGCGTGTGCAGCTGAACGGCAAACGCAAACGCAAACTGGAGTCCTGGACTGGGGGTTGTCGTTCGATTGGGCAGATATCGGGAGAGCGTTGGCTGCAATATCTGAGTCGTAATACCTAGCTTCCCGTCTTTCTTCCTTTGGGCAGTGCTGAGGCCGAAATGCGTGGTTTGTAACTCGACAAGCACTAGGGTACGGAGTAGTGTGACTCTCTTTTTCTTTCTGTCTTTCTGTTTGAGGCCTGCCTGGATCAGATGTATTGGTGAATTGAGGCCTGCTCGCTCGCTTCGCACGGCGTAAGCGCCGGTAACTGGAACCCTCAGGGATTTTTATTCTTTTCTCGCTAGGCGGTGTTGATTCAATGTGGGTTTTCGATGACTTGTCAAGTTGAACCCTTTCTTGTTGATCAGGTAACAAAACGACAACACGTCGGTGACTGGGCGGTATGACTCTTCCAGACCGGTGGATAGAGTTTCAATGTAAATGAACAACGAACCAGTCAAAGGTAAAAAATCGTCTGCTCAAAGACTTTTTTGTGTCAAAGGAAGAAGCGAAAGTGTTTGTTTACCGGTGAAGACAAACATTCAAGGGGTTGCGTCTTCCTTCGCGGCACGGAGATTGATGGGGAACGTCGGCACTTTTAACACATCTCGCATGGGTTGGATCGGAAAGATGGAGCTCTGAAATTCAGGGTCCAAACCAAAGGAGAATTAAAAACAGAAGAAAAAGTGATTGATCAGACTTCTAGGCCTCACTCCTGCTCCATCGTTTCCCGAATGCGCCCTCCCTGGATGTAACTATTTTCCCATGTTGCGTTGCGCATATCTGGGTCCCGCGTTGGCATGTTTGTGCTTGATCGAAAGGACGACGAATGCTCTACCATCGTCGATGCTATCACCCGGGGGTCCCTAAGTTCTAACAGCCTCCCCCCTCTTTCTAAGCCTCCCGGGCGATACCAGGCAGGGCAGGTCATCAGTCCGAGACGCTGGTCAAGAGGTGGCTTTGATTGCGCATCTCGATTACAGGACGGGTTGTGGAGGGTGTGGCGGAGAAGCGACATCAAACGGCGGGGGAAGCTATGAACCCGTAGCGCCGAGTGTCAGTACGGGTAGAGCAACGTGGTGTGGATTTGTGCGTGTGTGTATGTGTGTCCGTTCATCCTTAGGTTCTCGCCAAAAGGCTGATCCTGACTGTTTGATGGGTGGTCATGAACTTGAAGCCAGCTGTATTACGTGGAAATGTCGGCGTCTCACGAGGCGGCCGCGCGGAGCCCGTGGATTGTGCGTGATAGGGTGGGCGGTACACACGTTCGCATTCACACTCTCACTCTTACACACACACATCGACGGACTTGGCTTGAATCACGGGAGGTTGTCAATGGTGGGTATGAAGGAATAGGAGTCTACTGTGTATCAATATTGCCTGGGTCCATCCCTTCCCCGGAGCATGGGGTTTTCTCTACGGACCCAGGGTGCGGTGCTGTGTTTTGCTGCGGTCCAAAGGTTAGTTAGAGATGCTGTTGCTGCCTCTCTGTTTCCCTCGCATGTGCACTTCCCATCCTCTACTTTACGGCTTCGGATTCATGCTCGACTCCTCCATCCTTGTCAGCCTACAAAGTACTATACTTGCTTACCTCGTGCGCCCCCCCGTGCCCCCCTCTTCCCGAGGGCTGTGTATGTCGAAAAGGTGTCAGCCTGAAGTTCGGGGTCCAAGTTGCCCGTTCGAATCCATATCCCGGCGTCCCGGAGGGGGGGGGGGGGGGCGCAAGACCACTCGGCGACCAGCCCCAACGCTCAACGGCATCAACGGCACCAACGGGGACGGCACCACAACGGAGTCAACGGCCACTCCTAATTGGCGTGTCTGCGTCCCGTTTTTGGTCGGCGGGATCCGGGGTCGGGAGGAATTTGTTTGGCGTATACAGCCTCTTTACGTGAGAATTGGGCCCTTCCCGGCGGAGGTATGGGCGAACAATGCATATCACGGGAGAACGCAACAACCCAAATATAGTCAGTATGGAGAATTTTTCAGAGATATTGAAGAGTATGCGTATGCTTCTGTGTTGTGTGAAACGTGATGGGCTGAGTTGGTTGTTCCACTCAAATTTGCTTTTGCTTGGGGGTGAGAGCTATTTTCTGCCCATTTTGTTTGTTTCTGTTACTATTCCTAACCTTTGAGTATCACAGGTAAAGCTCGTGCTATTGAAACTGCAATACTTTGCTGGAAGGTTGAAGATTTGTTTATTTGGAGAATACGAGTCAAAGAGAAACACTCTTTTCTTTCTTTCTCGATGAATGTGGAAAAAATTTAAACGCCGTTGCGGGTGCACGACAAAGGGCTGTTGTCGGATGCAATCAACCCCCATCATGCAATCCCTTCATGGGCAAGAGAGCAACGCGGCGGCGGTTTTCTTTTTTCCTTTTTTTTTTTTTTTTTTTTGCGACGGGGGAGCCTTACGAGCCTCCGGCGCGGGCATTGATGGGATTCCGCCGAGATGATTTCCGCAGCGTTCGGGGAGATGTTTGACCAATAAGCCCGCTCGCGCACACACGAACTCAAAGTAAGGGGGAGACACTGGGCAACTCTATTTTGCTGGCCAAGAAAGCCCGCAAAAGGATGTCGCGGTGTCAAGAGTCTAGACCTTCTCTGGAGACTTCTGTTGACCAGGCAGAGCGGGCTCACGGAGGCAGTGAGACGGAGGGTGATAGACTCTCAGTTTCTGGCTCTCTCCATCCGCAGTGTCACTTGACTTGGTGAGACGATGAGCCCTGTCCTGTCCTTTTTGACATTGTCACACGATCACGGGCTTTTGCAATCTGCCCTTTGCGCGCAAAAGTGTATGTGTGCGTGGCTCCTACCTCTGTTCAGACTTCCCGCCATGGCATTTTCAATTTCCAATCCATCCCCCTTCTCCTGTCAAAGCTTCGCAGTTCCCGTTAGATGCCAAAGTCTATTTACCCCTCTGTAGAGTCACAGAAGCTCTTAGCAATTCATCCTTCCTTGGTAATCTTTCTCTCCGTTTCTCAGACCACTTTTACCTTTCTGTGACCGAAAATTATTAATCTTGGCTCTCCAAAACTTACCATCTGTGTGTACACGACTAGACAGCCGCATCCAGATACACACCACGCAATCTTGAGACGGCAGCTGCCTCCTCCAAGACCTTTGCCAGCCACATGGTACCGTCAGTCGATGATTGGTCAATGCCATCTACTGTCTTGGCTCCCTCCTTTGCCTCCTCTCCCCCCTCATCTTCACACATCTATCCGTTTTGCGTTAAGCCGAGGGGGCGTGTGTGATTCGTAGCGTATGGATGAATGCCGTTTATCCCGTTCGAGAGAGCCTCTCCCCGCTCTCATCTCCCGTCTATGCAGATAACAGCAACAAGAGACGGAGAGGTCCCCCCTCCCAGCTCCAAATCCCCACGGTCCACAACCGACGAGACGGCAGCACCGACACAACCATATGGGCGTTAGTTACTGAGAGACAAAATTGTGCCTGAAAGGGGCTAGACTCGATGACACGCGCAAACTCTCGATCCCTTGGGCTGCGCGCCAAGACACAATACCCTGTCGATCTCCCAGCCTTTTTTTCGATCCTTAGCCCAAGGGTCCCCGTTTTCTTCAGCTTGGGTCTCACGGTCTGGTCTGGTCTTGGAGGACCTTTTTCCAGTGGGGAACCCAAGACGATTCGGTATCACCGTAATTGTTCTGAGCCCATTTTCCATCCGCCAGCATGCACGCCGTCCCAACTCCCAGCTCTACCGGGGCGGGCCCTTTTCCTTTTGGCTACTGTCACTGCTTCTGTCAAGACCACAAGACTTGGTTTAACTTCTGTAGGGCAGACGCTAGTTGAAGGTGTAGGGCGTTGAACGTGGAGGGCACTTAAGTAGGCACTCGTATGCGAGTAAAGGGTATCTCGCGTTTTCGCTTCTTCACTTTTTGATAGGAACTAAGACTTCCCAAGCCCCAAGACACGCAATGCTTGCCGGAAGCCATTTTCCTCCAGCTCGGCGTCCAGCATCTTCAGAGCAGGGTACTTGGCGCTTTCCTTTGCACAACTATGCACTATGCGCGCGACACCGTTGCTAGGGAATGTGTCCACAATGCCTACAGTAAACATCGAGAGTTTGTCCTCATCGGCCGTCTTGCATGGGCATCGTCCGTCGGAAGGGAATACGGTGCGACGCTGCCGAGATAATACCTCCATCCCTCCGCGCGTTGTCCCGCTGCTTGACCTAAGCGAACCCCCTCTTCTGTACGGAGACGAGAAGGGGTGATGGATGGATGGAGAAGGATGGAGAGGAGGTTGGCGTATCGTAGTTCGAAACCCATCGTCTCACTGAATGCTCAATCGTTGCAAAACAGCCAAAATGCCATGCAAGACCACGCAAGCCTCGCGTGTGCCAAACCCCATGCCATGCCATGTAACTGCCTCAACTCTCACACAATCCCGCACCACTCCAGAGACGGGCACCACGCAAAAGCCCGCATATCCTCACCAATGGAGCGCCCGTGGCTGTGGCTGCAGCAGCCCGCGTGCCCGCACCGCTCGCCCAGGGCGAAAAAGAGAGCGCCTCTTGGAGTTGCGCGTACGTTACTCACGTCCGAGGCTGGGTTCGCTTGGCTGCCTGCCCTGAGTCTTGTCCTTGTGGTGCCTGTCACTGTTGTCAGACCGCGTCTCGAACGTAAAGAATGATATGATAAGAGCGTATGCACTGGAACGGGGAACAGGCTGCAGAATCGGCGGCGCGCGCAAAGGGCAAAAAGGCAATCACGGAAACGGCTGATTCGTCAACGGTTCCCGCTGAATGCCAACAACCGAGACCCTTCGAAATAGTTCAGTCAGTCACACACCGGCAGGCAAAAGCCACAATACGGTTTCCCTGTGTGCCTGTCTGTCAGCGAGTTTGCTGTTGATGACTACCCATCTATCCGTAGATGGGTGTAAGAAAACATCACGCCCCCAGGAGACCGGCCACTGCATTAGGAATGACTGACAACTCAAAACCCCATTCCGCATTCTGTTCGCCATGTCTGCCGTGGTTTAATCCACATGGACGCATCGGAAGATTGCTGAGGTTATCTCCTGATTACTCTCCCAATCCGCGGGGCCCCCATCTCGCGTCCGGGTCCCCAGCGAGTGCGAAATGCCGTCTTCACACCCTATCCGTATTTCCGCTCACGCGGAGAGGATTTCGCTGGGCTGCGCGGCACCGAAAGAGACTCGAGCTTCGGCTTCCCTCTCTCGTTTGCATCCAAACTCTAGGCGTATCTTCGGGTCCGCCGGCTATTAAGTGCATAACCCCGCGTGGCTCCAAGTCAGCTTTTCCTCTTCACTACATCCGTCTCAAAGATATCGATTCCTCAAGCTCACACACGCCCCACCTCTTTGGGGAAAGGCCTGGGACCTTTTTTGGTGTCGTCTCATGCCTAGCTCAATTTGAAGTTCAACTCTATCAATCCGGCGCCCAATCATCAAAGAAGATCGAGACGGTGTTCGGGAAGCAGTTGCGCTAAACCTCAGAGTCCTCAAGTATCAAGTAAGACCCTTGCTTAGGAATCTCTCGAATCATCAAGTAATCGACTTCCCGTGGAGAATGCGAACGACTGGTGGTTCGGCTTCTGGGCTGCATGGCATATCTTTCTCTCGTCTAAGCGGCCACGGGGTGCCAAGGTCCCTTGCCGTAGCACCCTCACGCTACTGCGTAGCTATCGTGGTGCGTTCGTAGCGAGAGATGCGTGTGGGTTGAAAGACTCATACTGCCCATCGGGTGCTACGGCAGGTATCGACTTTTCCCCATGCCATCGTGATCAGACGAAAAAAAATCCCATCGTGCATTCGTGCTTTGCCAGCGAGGGCCCCCTTCTCCCACGGCTCGAGCAAATGAGCATGCATTGTTCAAACTGACCCCTTTCTGCCATAGCGTAGCTGAAGAGACCCTGTCCTGACCTTTCACTCTTTTTCAGTGGGCTTGTGGGTTGTGATTTTGGCGCTTGCTCGGTCTTTTGGACGAGTCTGGCATCGTAAACCCTCAAAACTGCCGGGTTGGTGTTTCGTACACCCTTTCGCTTGTCACGAGGGCCGCTATGCAGCTCAAACGCATCGTCGATGTGTGAGAATTTATCGGCGATGTAGGGCAAAGGGAAATAAGAGCGGACACAAGCAAACTCGGTTGCTCGGTTCTCAAAACACCAACGAATCTACTCGCCACGCCCATCGCCACCTCGGACGCGTATCCTCCATAGGGAACAATTCCATCAGGTCCCATAAGGGGAATTCACCCAATGGCACAAAGCTGATCGACATTGTGTGTTCAAGCCTTACCCGTCTGTCATCCCCGATTCTTTGGCCTGCCCCTCCTCCACTATTGTTCCCATCGGCAAGGTAAGCCTCAGTGTGGAGATTGGTCTTCCAATTGTTCTGCCTCGTGGTCACAGCTCTTGCGCCTCGAGGCAAAGGCCTTCCTCATACTGCAAGTGATCGTCCATTACATCTGCGGGAACGGATGATCCGCAGATGACTACGGAGTACTAACATTGAATTACAGCAGCCTGTCGCGAATATCAATAGTAGCGGCACGCACAGAAGCATCGCATCGGCACATCGAGCAGCACGACCAGCGCATCGACAGGCAACGATCGATCCAAAGCGCACCAGCAACCAATGATTCGCATAGACGGTCGCAAATGCAATAGTCTCAGCTCAGGACTCTACTCTATCTGCCTTGCTTGCGTTGCAAACAGAGCTTGCAAGGTACCACAGGGACAAGGCCAGAGTCCGTCCCGCTCCATGTCCAACATTTACTGATATTGACCTTTCTGAGCTTGATAGAGATCACCTGCCCTTTAAGAGTCATTGTCCGACGATTCTGCAAAGCCAAGTCGCCTACCAAAGAGAGACACGTCAAATCCCGTCACCCAGGCTTGTACAGAGTTGTACGAACGTTTGGCCAGGGTCTCTAGTCTCGATACAAGCGTCTTGCGGCCGCTTGACGGGAATGCGGGTGTGGCATGCGCAAAATCCCTTGCCAACAGCACAACCATCCCCGCGACATGGCATCGGGCAGTTGTTAGTTTGATCGGCTCCCACCCGTTGCCCATCGACAAAACCGCATCCAGAGCGTAAGCAAGACCGTGACTGACGGCCTAAAGGTACGTTTTAGCTTCTTCAATGGCGTCTGAAACTTTGTTCATTCTTTCTTTCCGTCCTGTTCCCCGCGGTGCGCCGGTCCTGATGCTAGAGAGGGGGAGCAAGTCCTCCGGCCCTCCGCGGTTTTTCAACCACATGATTCCGCATCGGTCATCGAAACGAAACTCGATCGAAACGCTAATGGTGTCTTTACGTCCTATTTCGCGTGTACGCTACTGGCGGATACCCTACCCGCGCTTACGCTCTGTCGTTCTTCGATCTCGATGACATTCAATGCCAAATTTGCCAATTTTCCGCACCTTTTAGATGGTATCGGCATTTCTCGATCAAATATTTCAGAATCTCTCATTGCTTTTCACCCACCGGAAACTTTCCAGTTCCCTGGCTTGTGTCTATCCCCAATCCCTTCCCTGCCGGCCAGCCACCCTTGCCTTCTAGTGCACTTTGACCAAGTTCGAGCGCCTCTGTCTACTTTACCTATTTGAATCTATCGTATTCACGTTCACAACTCGATTTGACTATCCCTCTGGAGGAAGCTGAGACTCCGATACCTAAAGACAGCACTTGCCTGTGCCCTTGTCGTCGATCCGGCTAGTCTGCGATCGCGATGAACGTTGCACATCCGTCCCTGAATGCTAGGCATCGTCCAACTATTCTTCTTCATTGGCTCATGGCCTCGGCATAGTCATGCTATCTTCACCCAATACCGACCGTCAAACGGCTCACCGTTCCAGGTTTTCCCCCCCGATCGACCGTCACCCATCTTTCCGCATGACGTTTTTGCACCTACACCATACGGTGCATCTTCGATCCATCTCGAGGGATCGAGTTCCATTCCTCTCGGCCGTGACTCCTGCAGTGCTACTGGACGGAGAGCCACTCTTTCCTTCTTCTCCGTCGTCACTAAGCATATCTTTCGCTCACAGATTGTCTGCTATTCGGAGCCGGCACGGCGAAAACCACCGACTGAGCAAGCCGAGGTGCCATTTTGCCGGGTGTTGTCCAGCTTAACTCCAGTCCTGGCCCCCAGCGCCAAGTTCCTTGGTTCCGGTTCCAGTCAAAAACCAAGTCAAAGGTGTCTCGGTTTTTTTGACATCGCCGATCCTGTATCAATCGCCCTGCTTCTCTGGGGTTCACTGTCCCAGTCAACCAATATGCTTTCTCAGCCCGCTCAGCACAGGATCCATCTGGCAGGGAGAGGGGTGTTCGGGGAGGATACCCTTCTACCGGGGCGACGATGCCTTTCACTTGACACTGGGACCACCCGTGCTGATCAGTTGCCTGCGACGGCCATTCTGATGGAGAAAATGGATTCCTGAATACCACCTTGTAGTTCTAGACCATTGTCGAACTCGATATGACGACAGGGAACGCCTGCGAGCAAATTCCCGGCCATTGGGGTTTTCCTCTTCGAAGAAAGGTAATCCCCCAGAGATTCTCCGCATTTTCTTCACAAGCAGGGTTTCAGGATTTTCGTTCTCCCCAGTGCGGCTCTATGACTTTTCTGCCCATTTGATTCCTCATGCTGCTGGGTGTTGACCTGTGAGCGGAACCAAACAGCATCCTGTCGGTGTCCTAGTGGTACCACTTGTTGGCAGTACGACCATACGATTGTGGCTGCTTTTCTGGTTTTTGGTGCTATCAGAGGGCAAGCCAAGGTATTTCCCTCGATATGGTGAAGTCTTTCCAACGGCATACTCGCCGGCCCGTATTCATGAACCAGTGCTCATGGATACGATAGCGATGGGTGTTTCTGATTCCGATTCCGGGCATGCCAGCGAGCTTCTAGCTCACGATTCCACCCCGTCATCTCATCTTCTTTACATCGTCCGAAAGCCCGGTGTCTCCCGATCCCTTTACCCACGGGCTTTCACTAGCCCGGCTCGCGACCAGCCCGTCTACCCAAGACCCCGATGACGGGCGCCGTTGGAGAGCCGGCGCATCGAAAGACGCAAGCGGGCCTTGTGCCCGTGTCCGAGAAGCAATGATACCAAGGTGTGATCCGAGGCCCCTTTCTCACCGATATTGGCACGGCATATTGTTCTCCTTTCCTTGGGGCGTGTCAAGAAGTTTATGCATTCTGGTTCGCATCACGGCTGAAGCGCTAGGCGCGCCGTGTCTTCCTTTCTCGATCTAGCAATACCGATACTTCGGCTCCCCTCTGCCCCCTCTCTATCGTACCCCTCCTTGGCGGAGACGGACGGCGCTTCATCTCACGATAGTTGCAATGAACGCCATCCCCTCAACCCTTGCCATTGTACACATGTCCTCTCCCGCCGGCAAATCGGACTTGAAGTCCCAAACGGGAGGAACACTAATTCTTCCCGGCCGAGAGGGTACGCACCACTCACCGAGCAGGGGAGGGGGTGCGTCGTAGCAGGATCTTCGGGGTCTAGACGCGCCGTCGACGGGATGACATGCGGCGCCAATGTACAATGATGACAGGCTGTGCATGATTGACCGCCAGGAACTGGAAGGAAGGAAGACGAGGGTCCTTTGCCTTCGATCCGTGACCTTGGTTGAACCCCTGCGAATCTGGAATTTGGCTGTGTGTTTGGAAGCAAGATGACGATACGGGGAGGGGGTGGACATTGGCAGAGGATGGGCGAATGCGCATCGCCAAGGTGGCCTTTTGGAGTCTGGACCCTGTGCCTTTAGATGTTCGTCGGTGTGTGGATATGCGCTGTCGGATAATGAAGCGACGAGAGGGACTCTAATGTGCCGCCAGGTGATTATTCGACGAATGCCCACCGATGTTTGCGCTGATGCAAGAGCGTCGTTGGTCTCTCTCCCATCGGAAATGCTAGAGGATATGAGGGCGTCACCACCGTTGAGGCTACCACCTAGAGCTCGGCCTCTCGGTAAACGCTAGGCTGAGACCCTGAGACTAAGGGCACAGCGGCAGAACCCTTATGCAGGGTAAACCAAACGCAACCTTACGTAGCACGCGTAGTAAGCGTCGGACCACGCAGACGAGAAGGGAATGGGTTTTCCGTCCTCAGAGAAGAAGCTATTGGAAGCGCCAAGATGCAGCTTATGAGTGTCATTTACAGCCATAGCGCCATGCTTTGCTTTTCATCTCACTTTTTTACCAATGATTGTGAGGGTCCGAGGTAACGAAGCTGGTGATGCCGCATCTGTCCCGTACGTCTGCCCCGCCCCGGTAAGACGGGGCCGTGGGGGTGCGGGACGAACTTCCGGAAATTTTGCTCCGGATGAAGAAGATTCCAGCAAAGGATGCGATATACATGCATGGTTGCTCTCGCATTTCTTAGAGGTTGCTGACAGGTACCTTGAATTTCAAGCTCCGTATTTGACAGATGGTCCCCCACTGCTTGGATGTCATTGCGTGTGGCCTTCCCCGCGAAGACCAGGTTGCAGGGTGATGGGGCTGGCCACGCCGGCCTTATTGTCTTAAAGCACATAATCTGGCCCTTAGAGATGGAAAGAGAAGTCCTGTATATGGCAGTCTTTGCAGCGAACGCTCGTTAGCTTGGACGTTCGAGTTTGAGGGTACCTACATCGCTGTCTTGGTACTATCTACGTCCCTCTAGGCGGTAGGTTGCCTTACATCTGTTCCCAGACGCAGCTTTCTATTTACGCCACGTTACTCCTGTAATCAATATTGGTATCCTTCAACACCTTGCGAGAGAAATCAGCGCCCATCAGGTATGCAATCGGGGTTTTATACCAGGAATCTTCTCGACAATCTATGAGATGACTCAGGCTTTCTTTCACCTATTTCCCTACTCAATCGACATTTCATCTGTTTGGTCTGTTACTTCAATCGAGTACTTCGTCCAAGTTAAACTACCCTATAATACGGAGTAGCGAGTTCTCATTTGAGGCTGTACATCAGAGTATCCGAGCATGCCCATCATAAAATCCCGTCCGTAATATACCGGAACAGGTATTAAAACCCTCATCCACTGCCCGCCCCATTGTCGGCCAATCGTGAGATTCCACAACAAAGAAACCTGAGTAAACCAGCCTGAGAAATCGCTTGAGATGATGCTAATTCGCTTGAACATCATGCCAACATGCAGTTGCCATTACACAAATCTGAATGGGACCTTCCACAAGGACGCGGCCCCACCGTGGAGCCAACGGTCGGGTTGCCAGGACTCAGGCCTAAGCTTACTTAGTCCTCAGCTCCACCGCCTCTCCCAACCAACTATCACTGGATGTCAACATCCACTAATCCCCGATAGTCTAGTGGTGAGGATATCTGCTTGTCATTGAAGATTCAGCGATTCGCAGGGGACCGGGGTTCAATTCCCCGTCGAGGAGTTATCTTTTGCTTTTTTGCCTATTGAATCATTTAATTCTGTCAATCACCATCGTAGCTATCCAATCAGCTTAATTTTGGACGCGAAATAGCTGGGCCCACGGAGATTGACCCTGTTGAATCCATCGATGCATCACAACACCACAAGCCTCTCCAGCACGTCTCGAAACCAACGTTAAGCCACATAGAACTCGACTTTTACCTATGCCGTCTTCTGAAGCATCTCTCTGAATTACTAGCGAAACTGGTCGTCTTGGCAGTGCACAAATAGCTGGCGGATTCAGTGGCGTCCAGGCTTCAACGTTTCGACTCTCCGAAACGGCACTACTGTTTAGGTCAACGCTGACTAGATCCGTCGCTAGGACGTTTAAAATGAGAACCTCACCCCTCCATCGCGCACAGTCGACATCGAGGTGGGGGACAGGGCAACGGGTTTGCAATGGAAGAAAAGGAATCGAGCAAAAACACAATGTGTCCCATGGCAGAGTGGCTTCCACTCTCCTCGATTGCCCAATGTCCATCTGCCCATCCACTCAGATATAGACGACAAGAACATCACCAAGAAACCATCACCGGCATTCGTGATGCACATTCTCGCAGTGCTCCTCTTCGGTGTCGTATTCCCGGCATGTGCGCGCTCAGAGAACCGCTTCCGCCGCCCACCGGGCCCGGGTCCGGCAGGAGACTTCCGGGATAACCCAGTCTATACCCTCGGCGACAACATTGACTTGCAGTGGGAGATGGATCTCAAGAACATCGACCTGATCTTATGGCAGCAGCAGCCCACGGGAAATGTCAAGGGGCCCTATGCCAAGCTCGCATGTAAGTCCCTACCACAACATACTTTCTCAGAGTTGCGTCTGACACCATTGCAAAGCCAATTCCACGGTGAAGAGCCTCGTCTGGACCGTAGGCTACGCAGGCTTTCCTTCAACAATGAATCCAGACCTGAGCCAGGTCTACTTCCTTCAACTCTTCAAGACGGGACAGTCGGGCAGCAGCGCGACATCTCACTACTTCAACATCACCGAGCCCGACAGCACATCAACCTCAACATCATCCGCAACAGCCACAACAACAGCCCTCGCCCTCGCATCAGCAACCCCAACATCAACCGCAGACTCCTCCCCGGCACAAACACCAACCGCCCCCGCCGACGAAGACCAACTCTCAAGCACCGCAGTCGCGGGCATCGCCGTCGGCGCGACGCTCGGCGCCCTCATCCTCCTCGCCCTCCTCGCGGGGCTTGTCCGCAGGTACGTCAAGAGGAGGCGGGACATGGCCGTCCACACGGAGGGCGACATCCTCGTCTACGCCGAGCGGCAGCTGCGGGCCAAAGACGAGGCCGCCGCGTGGAAGCTGGAGTTGCCGGCGCACAGCCGCGAGCGGTTCGAGGTGGAGGCGTGCGAGCCGAGGCACGAGATGCCTGCTGAGCCTGTGGGTGTTGGGATGGAGAGGGGGTGACAAAGTGTAGTAAAGAATGGGTGTATGAGGGTGAGAGATTTGAAGTCGGGGAAGAGATTGGAGATCCCATCTGCTTAGTCTCCTTTGTATTAATTAAGCGGTTGATTTCTGGATTTTGGTCGCAGCTTGACCGGTGTAATGAGCTTGGCAGAATGAGAACCTTAATGAATCAATGACTGAAAAGGGCATTTTCCCTCGTGTAGAATGGGTACATGCGTGAAGAAGACGTATAGATTAGCCCCTCGTTCGGATCATGAAACGTCGATGTCAAATAGTTCCTACCGCGCCCACAGGGCTTGATATCATAGCAAAACTTAACCGAAATAACCAAGGGTGAATACGGCATACAGCAACAGAATAGTCTCCTGAGTCCTCAAGGTAGTTGAGGCCAAGAATTAGTTGCCGCCAAAGGAAGGGGGTCTCGGTAGCATTGTAGGATGCCAAGTCAACCTCTGAAAGAGACTCGGTTAAGCACTGTTCAACGATTTCATGTAAACAATCAATGTCTCACAGTTGTCGAGCCATTCGGCTTATGGACGGTGAATTCAATGGCCTGCCTGCTGCTGTCAATGACGTCCACACACGCAGCCGTATTCGACCATGCTCGCTTCCATCGCCGTGAATATCATTCTCGGGTTCTCAAACTCGATGCACCGAGTCCAGTAGGTCCGCTTCCCGGTGGATTCTCCCAGGTTGTTTGTATCTCTGTCGCACACTGGGCACTTGAGTTCAAGTCAGAAGCTCTCGGTCGACAGTGCTGGAATAGAATAGATGACAAATTTGGTAGTGTGATTTCCTCGACGCAACAGCTTCTATTGCGTGTTTAGGTGTATTTTGCGGTGAATTTCAAAAGTTTGGTTTGTAGCATTGTCTCCAATGTCTCTTGCGAGCGCGTCGTTTCGGCGGGAGGTTGGGTCCGGATATGGCTGTTGGGTCGAATGGGTGATGGCTGGAAGATTAGGCCAGAGAAAAGGGGGTTGAAGAGGAATCTTGACTTTTAAATTTCAAGCACGGGATTACAGCCGTCACATTTGTCACGTTCTCAGAATATCTGTGTCCACATCCTTCATTACTCAACCATACACTCCAGGTGATTCGTCGCATGTGTCTACATACAAGCGATGGGCTGTGAAGTCTACTTCATGAGACTGACAAACACGTTCATTCGACCATCAGACATTTGCAACAAATCACTCAGTATAGAGACTCGGTGTATAAAGGTCTGAGTCCCACCGGCAACCAATTTCCATATGCCTTACTCCTGGCCGGGCTCCTCATAGGGCTTCATTCCGTACACGGAGTACCTGGGATAACATTAGCTCTCTTCATCATCCACAAACCCCAAGACTCGGAGATGAGCCGACGAAGAAGGCGGGGAAAAAATACTCACACGTTCCAGAACCCATGAATATTAGTATTCTTAAAATCATCCCTCACCCCCGCCATAAAAACCACAACCTCCTCCCTCGTCCAACCCAACACGCGCGTAAACAGCGCCATGGCGCCCGGCTCGATGCCCTCGAGACTACACGCCTGGCCCCAGACGCCGAGCTCCTTCAGCTCCGGGTTCAGCGGCCACGGGCTCGTGGGCCACACGCGCTTGTGCTCGACGACGTCCACGAAGCCGGCCTCGCTGAGCATGGAGCGGAAGCGGGCGGGCACGGTGATGGGGCGGCCGATGAGCTCGGTGCCCTCCATCATGAGGGTCGACCAGCGCGCCATCGGGTCGTCGGGCTTGAGGGTGCCGTCTTGGCAGAGGATGGGGAAGGCGTTGTCTTGGAGCTCGATGAAGCCGCCTGGTTCTAGGGCACTGTTGATTCATTGGTTGTTAGAAGACTCTGGGGGAGGGGGGGTTGTATGAATGCACGTGGGCATTGCGTAGTCGTGACAATGAGTTGCGAGAGAAGGGGGGCAAGATGAAAGCAGGTTCTTACTCGTAAGCACGACGAAGGAACCGCTCCCAGCTCTCGAAGCATGCGTTCATGTGTCTTGCAAAGATGAAGTCGAAAGGCTCCTGCCACGTCCACTCTTTCTCCACATCGTCGACTTCGAACTTGCAGTTCGGCGGGACGCTGAACAAGACAGTCTATTAGCTACAGGGGTTCAAGGCATACTGCGTAGGTATTTTACTCACAATTCAGGCTGAATAGGACTTAAATCCACGCCAATGACCTATTAGGTTGCCAGTGATGTTAACACTCGCCATACACCGCCCATGAACCCATCAGAGGGAGGCAGAACGGAGGCATACCACTGCTTCTGAGTGTTTGTCCGCTGTTAAAATTGTTAGTCGAATTCCCGTCCTGCAATGGGAAAAGGTCATCGCTCCTGCTGAGAAAGTACTCGGAGGGGGGAGGGGAGAGGGGGGCAAACTAACCATATTCTTCAGCCCAAATACCAGTTCCGGTTCCAATATCCAAAACACGGTTGGCGCCCTTATTCTTGGGACACATGCAGAGTTTGCCATCCCATGTCAGCGTCCAAAAGTGATGCTGGAAGTCTATTATTTCGAGGACGGACATGTTAGCCAACGCCCGAAGTCTCCCGGTGGATCGCCTTTTTTCCGAAGCCCGCCGGGTAAGGTAGAAGAGAAAGACTGGCTCACCTAAACGGTCTTGTTCTCTCTATATTCCAAAACGAAAACGCAAAGTCAGATGTGTACTGAAATGTAACAGGAGGTAGAAGATATAATTTGTTAGGACGTACGGCATCGTTTGGGAGGATGTATGCTACACGTATCGTCAGCTGCTTACATCGCGAACCCAAGGGGGGGGGGGGGTAGGGAAGAACCATGAATGAATTCATGGTCTCTGGAGAAAGAGAACAACTCACTCCCATCACTGAGACTGTGATACGTGCGCCCGTTTTCCCTGCGGTAATCACGAATACTCGTTCTCAGGGTGTCTGTATCAGTGTGGACGGACTATGAAGCAAGAAACACCAGAGTCAGTAAAGCGAACATGGAGCACCAGAGCTGCGAAACTTTGCCGCAAGATATTTGCAGAAGGCTTCCTCAAGCGGGAGAATGTGGAAAATTTGAAACTTACCGTGCCGCTGGTCGAAGACGCATCTGATCCGAACTCTTGTGCCTCCTATTCAAACAAAGGCCGCAGGTGTCAGTTCTTTTCCGAACTCTATGATTTTAAATAGACAGAACCGGAGGAATTTATTGTAATTGATTGGACTCTTTTGGGGGGGATCAATTTGCCAGCAGGAAGATACATATAGGCTTCATCGAAATGGGGCGGCGAAAGGGGGGGGGGGGGGGTTGACTCACGATGACCTCGTCGGGCTCGGGAGTCTGCTGAGCTTGGCCCGCGTCAGCCATTTCGTTTTCCGATATGCCTCTCTCTCTCTCTCTATCTCTCCTTCTCGCTGTGTGGAACGGCGGACAGACCAAAACCGTCAATGAAGTAACAAAACAATCACTGCACCAAATTCCAGTTCGTATCAAGATAGAGAAAGTAAAGCACGATCAAGAAAAAGGAATCAAGAAGGAGGAAGGCCCAAGAAAAAGAAGCAATCCAAGACGTCTTTAAATCCCCCCCTCTCTGCCTCCATCCCATGCCCCCTCTTCCCTTTCCCCTTCCCTCCCCTCCCCTCTCTCCATCTTCACAACCAAAACCCCTGCTTGAACTCCACAATACGACCTATCTTTGGGTTACTTTAGCATCCCCCCCCCCCCCCCCCCCCCCCCCCCCCCCTCCCCCCCCCCCCCCCCCCCCCCCCCCCCCCCCTCCCCACCCAACCCCCCGCTTCGCCCCCCCATACCCCCCTTCTTTTGGTTTCTTTTGCCCCCCCCCCCCCCCCCCTAGCACTCTAGGCAGTGGTACCTGATTACGCGCCAACGGGACCAACGGGACCAACATGAACCGTCGGCGGATTGCAAAGAGGAGGAGAGGAGGGTGGGAAGGGAAGGGAAGGGTGCTCCGCTCGCCCGCTTATGCGAATTCGCCCATTTTCTTTTCTGTCTGCAAGCAAAACAACTGCAGTATAGGATATTCGGCCGTGATTGGGCTGGTCGCGGGCGGGACGATGTGGCACACTTTGACGCTCTCTTCCGGCCGCAACCAACGGGGGATGGATACAATTCGACCGGGGTACGGACGATTTAGCGTGCCCGCTTAGCGCTATCGGATCCTGTCAAATGGGAGGAGGTGATGGGCTGATTGATAGAGGTGGCTCGTCCATCTCTTTTTTTGTTCGTGTTGCAACTTGTGTTGGAAGCACTTTTTCTTTGGGGGGGTTTATTTGCCGGTTGGATCCTTCTACGGGCAACGTATACATACACAAGTACAAAATGTGGCAAGAGACAAGGTGCGGATGAGATCCTATGTCCCATCCCCCCCCCCCCCCTTTCGGGGCCGCATGGCTACGGCGCGGCTGTGGAGAAGATGCAATGTTTGCTGTGCACCTCCACCCCCTCTCCCTCCCCTGGGTATGAGGCTTGGTCCCTGTATATCACTTGTGATGGTATCATGGTTGCGAGATGAGGTAGGGAAGTAGGTGATTGCGACAGCATATATCACGATTATTGGATGTTGTAGCTCTGGACGGGGTATATGTTGTACCGTGGATGCGGGGGAGGTATTTCGGACGAGCCGGGCAGAAGCGCAAAGGACCTGGTGCCAATGACATCTATTTTGGCGATAAATTGAGACTCTCACCCGAGGCTCGTACGCGAAGAAGATGCCGATTTTTACAAGTTTGATCATCTACTCGCCTCGGCCATGATTTGAAACGAGCGAGATCTATCTCAAGGTTTCTATTACTACAACACACGGAGCCTGGAGGAGGGGCTAACTCGGTTCCTCCAAGTGCGGTGATGTGCCTACCCTAGGCGGGTGCCAGGCTTAAGATTATCAGAATGGATCGAAGCCAATCTCAAGTAAGAGGATTGGTCTCGTCCTCATCGCCATGGTTATCATCCCTGGCGACGGGACGGACTGAATCTCCCGCCGCGGAGTTATCTCTCCCAGTACCTTAGCCTCCGAGTTGCCTCTAGGTACCATGGTCCAAATGTATTCTCCCCAACGCCACGCAAAAGAGAAAGAGCATACAGTTATACAAAGTCCCAGGGGTATCAAGACCAGATCTAATTCGACCAAATGCAACGTCGTTTTCACTTCCAGCCGTTACGTTCTCTCTCTCTCTCCCTCACTGCCGTCTCAGGCGTAGGGCTTCCTCCCATAGACGCAATACCTGCAATAAGCCGTCAGTCCCAAACAAGTCGAGCACGCGCATAAACACAAAAAGACCAACTCACACGGTAAAATAAGCATGCACACTGCCCCCGCGAATCTCCCTCTCGACCTCGTCGCAAAAATCGCGCGTGTCCTCCTGGGACCAGTGCAAGAACTGCGTAAAGAGGTGCATTGTCGAGGCCTCGAGCGCCTCGAGGCAGTTCTCGCGACACCAGATGCCAATCTCCTTTTCGCGGGGGTGGTCCACGTCCCAGGGCCCGATGGGCCAGACGGTCTTCTCCTCGACAATGGCCTCGAAGCCGGCGAGGTCGAGCAGCTGCTTGAAGCGCGAGGGGGTGTCGCAGGGGCGGCCCATGAGCTCCGTGGCCTCCATCAGGAGCGTGGACCAGCGCGCGATGGCGCTGTCGGGGGCCATGGTGTCGTCGTCGCACATGATGGGGAAGGAGTTGTCCTGGAGTTCAATGTAGCCGCCGGGCTCGAGGTGGCTTTTTAGTGTGTCAGTCCAACGTCATGGGCGAATGTATATGGGCTTGGTAGAGTCCTTACCCGAGAGCCTTTTCAAAAATTGCGACCCAGTCGGCAAAGGCGGTGTTCATGTGACGGAAGAAGATGAAGTCGTAAAGCTCCCTCCACGGCCAGGGTTGCTCCAGGTCGAAGATTTCGTACCAGAGATTGGGTGGCACACTGGAGATGACAAGATTCAGCTGGGCGTTCGTTTTGGGAGCTAGAGCCAGAGCCTCTCAGAAGGATTGCGGGGGCTGTGTTTACTCACGCAGTCAGTTGTATAGGGCTTAGGTCGACGCCAATGACCTTAGTCTCATTGTTAGCAAGCAGTCAAACATCCGCACCCGAGCCACTTGTGCGAGAACAGAACGTGGCCGGGGGGTGGTGAAGGTTAGGCAGGCCTTACGACAGCTTCTGGGTGGTCGTCCGCTGCAAATAGGTTAATCGTCAAGATTCAAGAGTGTGTGTTAAGGGCAAGTCCTCACCGAAATCCGAGGCCCAGTGACCTGTGCCGGTTCCACAGTCGAGCACGCGCGCCGCACGCTCACGTTTGGGAGAGTTGGCAAGACGCGAATTATACGTGCGAAGCCAGAGATGGTGTTGGATAGCTACGAAAGAGGCCCCGTTAGAAGAAGAAAAGGAAAAAAAAGCATCCCTTTAGAGGGGCGGCAACACGGCGGGACTCTACGTGTACATACCTAGGCGGATACATTCATCCTGTTGAGATGCCCCCAGAAGAGAGTCCTGGTAAGCCAAAGGAACTATACAAAGACACGCATGACATGTGGGTTCACGGTGGAAAACTCACCCAGTCATTGGGCAGGATGTAGTCTGGTAGACTGGAGTCAGTATAAGGCGCTCTCGTCATCCATGGAGACATTGTCTTGGTCATTTGCTCACCTCTTGATGGATAGGTGCGGCCAAAACGCTGCTGAAAGGCGAGCTGGAGATCCGAAGTCTCGATGGTCCTTGTCGACGGGGCTCGTCCATCATGCTGTGATGACTGGAAGGCGTCAAGGTTAGGGTGTGTGTGTGTGTGTGTGTGTGTGTGTGTGTGTCTGGAGGCTGGAGGAAGATGGGCACGTAGGGGAGTTTGTTACATACGGAAGCATCAATTGTGAGGATGGATTGGTTGTCAGTGCCCGTCATCAGGCTGTCGGCATCCGTGGCGCTATCCTCAGTGACGTCCACGGATGGCCGGTCTGAGGCGGCGTAGATGGTCATGTCGGCGTCGTCAGAGTCTGCCGCGTCATCCGCCACGGTCTCCGTCTCCGTCGCCGCGGCGAAGATGAGAGCTTGGGCTTCGGCGAGGGTAGATGCGGAGGCGGGTGCGGGTGCTGGTGCGAGTGCTGGTGCTACGATGTCTTCCTCATCGTCAGAGGGGTCAGGGAACATGTCAAGGTCGCTGACGTAGGATTCTGCGTCGTCCGAGGCGGACTCTGCGTCGTCTACGGCATGCTGGGCGACGTCGACGTCCACCTCGACCTCGTCAGCAAACAGAAGAGGGTCGATGGGGTTGGGTGCGCTGCTGCTGCTGCTGTTGATGGGCGGGTCACTCCACGTCGTGGCATTGATGGAGGGGGTTTCCGGGTTCAGGTCCAGGTCCAGGTCCAGGCGAGGCTCTGATGCATGTGCGAGCGAGGCGGTCGCATCGTTTGCAAACGCCTGGCCAGACATTGTACGGACCTCTCTCTCTCTGTTGGCCGTCGCGGGGAGGAAGTAGCAGAGAGAAGAGAGGAGCTGGCGAGTCCACCGACGATGATGAGACCACGACGATGAAATTTGCGCAATGATTGGGTCGGGCGAGGAATGTCGTCGGGGAAGCTTTGGCTTTTTAACCTCGCGCTTCCGGAGCTCTCTCTACATCCGTCTCTCTCTCCCCTCCCTTTTCTTCAGAGCTCAGTCTCGCCCCGTGGCCCGGTAGCCAGTGGACACTACGTAGTAAAGTACTTCGCCTACCGTTCTGTTGGGTGTACCGAGTACTCTTTTGGCTGTCCACCTTGTCTTGGGTACATACCAGTACTATGGATAGCTAACTAGGGGGATAGGTATTCCTTGCTGCTGTTGGCGGCCAAAAAGTGACTTACTGCGGTAAAGACTCCCCACCAATTGGTCGCTGCTGGAACTCTGTTGGAACCAGGGTACATCTGGCAGTCTTTTCGGCGGTACCCAGGGGGGGAAAGCAGAGCAAGAGAGGGAACGGTTGGTGCAGTGCCCAGCCACTATCGCCCAGCCACTGTTGGGAGAAGAGACCAGAAACCCTTCCCCCCCCCCGGTCTCCCCCCTCTCTTCCGCCCTACCCGGGCTGGACGTGATTGGTGCTACGCCGCATGCGTGGGCTCATTCTTGCATTTTTTTCTCGCAGCGGGCGCGGGAGAGAGAGAGAGAGGGGAGGCCGACTTTATCACCTCAGTAGCTTCCAGCTTCTGACACGCCAGGGGGAACAGCTGATGAGGTATCGATGGGATCTAGGTACTCTGTAGTTTTACACCCTTGACTGATGGGCGTTGAGCCCTTGAGTTGTTTGCTTGTTTTACTTGTTTGTCACAATGCAGATGTATTGTGGTATGGTGCCGCTCCTGGTCCAACGCCGTTCCAACCGCTGAAGTGACGGATTCGG